CACACACACACACACACACACACACACACACACACACACACACAGACTATCAAACGTGTTCGGAGAGCCATGATCTCATTACCGTGCTTAATCGATCATTTAATCAATAAAGAGTTTTCGTGCCTTTTAGTCATACATGCTTGGCATTGTCAAAATCGAATACTCGAACGTATAGCTAACCCATCAGTTCAAAGTCACTCGTTTGTCTCAAGACACCTGTCTGTCTGTCTGTCTCTCTCACTCACACATACACGCACACACACACACACACACACACACACACACACACACACACACACACACACACACACACGCGCGCACACACTTATTGTTCGCAATTCACCTCCTTCACCCAAAATCCTCACCATTGCTATTACGTATTTACCCATCTCTGCAGCTAGTGATATATTCTCAGAGTGGGTCCATGGCAAAGAAACTTTACACGACTTTCTCATTTGGCTGGGTCCTTTCGGGGGTGGACGTTTAACTCGGAGGTCCCGCCTCTTAAGCTACCAAATAGTGTTGATAGATAAAAGCATTAAACCACTACCATTTTCACATTCTCGGAATTTCAACTCCACCCTGGACTCTCTTCCAGGAAATTCAAACCAGTTTTAAGACTATATGTTCAATGTAGCTCACGTTCTCCCATTTAGCTTTTACTGCTCTGTACCCTATAAGAGAAATGTTACGTTATTTCATGAATTCTCAAAGCTTGTTGAAGTCGGCGTAAAACCACAACAACCCTGATTTTGTTCCCTAGAGGTTACCGGGCGAGTGAGACGAACCACGCGGGAAAATACGAGCAGTTTGTGAACGGTCAGTGGACAGTGAGGGATTGCTCTCTGGCTGTGGCAGGTCTTGTGTGGGACCAGGGAGCTTGTCAGTGTGTGTGGGGACCTGACAGCAAGGAGATGATTACTGGACAGGGTATGTGTGTGCGTGTGTGTGTGTGTGTGTGTGTGTGTGTGTGTGTGTGTGTGTGTGTGTGTGTGTGTGTGTGTCAGTGTGGCTGTGTGTGTGCATGCGTGTGCGTGTCCGTGTGGGCGTACATGCTGATTCCTGATTCTTATAAAGGACATCGGCAAAGCTTTTAACTTTTAGAACAAAAGGAATCGGTTTTGTTCTACAAATTACACGGTTTGTGTATAACACTATCGATGACATTTCCGTGCACTCAATAGGCAAAGATGTTGACGTTAACTCTTTGAAGACGTAGCGACAGCACAGAATGTGTCACGACGCGGTGGAATCAGGCGCTCGTCAATTTTTGAGCATAGAGAGTTATTAATACCGTTGTAAAGCTTGTTTACTTGTCCTGCATTTAGCGAAAACAATTCCACTGTATCTTGAATTGAAGTCGAGATATGCGCGATTGAAGGTGGTGGGGTCGCCTGGTATGAGAGGTAAAACTGGCAAGAAAACGGCCACCAAAGTTTGGTAACCTCCAAAGCTTGAGAGCCCTTGGAAACAGGAAATTTACATTTTTCGCGCCTGTAATAAACGTTTTTCAGCAACAATTACAAACACTCAGAAATGCGTTTTTAAAAGAACATAAAAAGTGTTGAACCAAAAATAGAAAATTTGAAAAAAAATAACCCAACACACAAAAGATGCTTTTTTCTTCGATTTCATTGTTTTGGCGAGCGCCTGATTTCACCACACTGCCCCACAAAATATTCCCTACCATCAGCAAACCAAAGTCCATGTTGCTGCATAATATTTTGAACCATCATACACACAAAAAAAGCTCATTTGCGTATTTCCCAGACGCATGTTCTTGACTGCCCTTTTAAAACTTCAGATAAATAAAACAGAATTGGAAATCTGTATGAATGGGGAAGTTATGCCTCATTTTGTTTTTGTTTTTTTAAGTACTGGTCTAGAGGCTACAGTGACAGCCTCTCATTCTATAGGCATAGATGGAAAATTTTCATCTCTATAATTCTCCTGTCACCTGTCACCTCGTTTCCTGCTCTCTGTCGTCTGCTTTCGACTCCATTCTCTGCCCCC